TAAAATTTTTTTTGTTTAATTCTTAGAAAATTAATTTATTTTGGTCACAATATTGTCTCTATGCTAAAAAAATTTTAAGTTGCATCATCTAGTCGAAACAATTTAAAAACATCAATCTTAAGCCATTTAATCTTTTGAAGGTTATATTAGCCATAAATCCTATACCAAATATTCCCATTTTCTATCAACTTTATATGATATTTTTAAAACCCTTGCGGAGGGTATTAGAGTTTCAGTCAGAAGTTTGCAATGCAGTGAAGGCGTCTTCTCTGACCCTATAAAGTATATATATGCTTGATCAGCATAAATAAAAATAATAAAAAAAAAAAAAAAATTTAAACGTAACTTCTTTATTTTTGTATCTTTTTTTTAATTTAATAGTAATAATTTGATAGTTCAGATTAACGATTTTAATTTACTTCAAATCGGAAATCGATATCATATAACTGTTATAGGATCGCGCGAATAATTGAGCTGAAAATCATCAATGTTTTTAAACATGTACGCATAAAAATCGAAATAAAGGTGTTTTCAAATATATTTAGTTTTTGCATTAGCTACAAGAGTATATAAACTTCGGCTTGTTTACAATTTCGAACTGCTACAAAACCCAACGTTTTTCATGATTTTGGCATAGTAAGCTGCGATTTGATTCAGATTTATGAAACACAGTGGCCGTGAAACTAATGTCATCGAACAAACTGAACTGTCAAAAGCTAGTAGCCAGGCCCAATCCCCAATATGTTCAGTTTGCCACCAGAGCTCGTCTGGAGCACAACTAGTTTTGGGAATAAAATAGTTCAAAAAAAACCTACAAAATTAAATGTGAAGCGTCAGGTAAGTTAAAAATGTAACAAAAAAAAAAAAACATACAAAAAAAAATTACAAAAAAAAAAAAAACCAAATTCTCGTTTTAGAATTTTATTGGTACACTTTAAGTGGTAATACACATACAGCCCAACTACACTACTTTACACTTGCCATTGCTTTCGATGACGACGACTAGCAATGGCAAAGCACTCGGCTTTCGACGGAACAGAGCTGCATGGTAAGTCTTTAAGCCCATAAATCGATTGATTGAACCTATGATTCAACTTTTAATTAATTTATTATTATTTATTTAGATAATGCTCGCCGCTTGAAAGCCAATGACTAGGTCATGTTGGAACATATAGAAGATCATTATGTGGTTGAGTGGGAATAAGCCTTTAGCGTTAGCAAATCTATGTGTAAGTTGCGATAAATCCAATTTCATTATTATCAATGATCGAATGACTTTGGCCACAGACGAACTGATGGTACCGGTCCCGCTGGACATGTGGCTTGCATCGGTTCAAAATAAACATCTGTTATATATGTAAAAGAATAAATATTTAAAACTAAATTAGGTGACTTTTGGAATGAACTCCGTTTTGTAGGCGAGCATGGGTGAATTTTCTTTCAGTGTAACATTATCAATTAAGTCGCGCGCTTCATGGGCATTCATGTGCCACAACCAACTATTCCAATTAGTAGTGCCGGTCCGAAGATAGTGTTCAGAAATTGACGGGGAATCTGGCAAATATTTCAATCTCCATCTCCATCTGCATCTCCATTGTCTGAAGGGGCGGCTAAAATGGGGGAGTGGCACTGAATATCGGCATATCGTGTTGCGGTTGCTTGGGACGTGTCACGCAGCTCTGCTCGGCGATAAATTTGTATTCAAAATGGAGAACCAAATGAAATTATCGACCACAGACAGATTTCAGACGTGGATTCAATTACAAAGCATGTGCTTGTGGGTTAAGGCAGGCTGTTGGGGGGGGGTTAAGGAGTCTGTGGGTCGGTCGGTCGGTTTGTCTGTATGTCCGTCCTTGTCTTTGTCTTTGTCTTCTGAGCTGCACAAATACATATGCATAAATTTCAGTCGATATTTACATAAATGTGCGAGAGCGGGTGAGTGGGTGTGTTATGACATTTGCTTACGAAATGAACATCATTATCGGCAGACTTGTGCTTCCCGTTTACACACACACTCACGCGTGCACTCGAAAAATAGCCATTTAATGCTTACATTTATTATAACTATTTTAAATACAATTACATGCCATTTTAGTTGCGTTTGCTAATTTAAGCCTTAGTTTATCAATGTTTTTGCTTAAACTAAAATGATAGTTTTTCTAGAAAAAAGAAACTAGTATTATAGTTAAGCTAAGGACTTTATTTTTTTTAATTTTCTTTTTAATATATAATAAAATATTAGTTTGCTGTCGCCATAAGAAATACTAATAAAATGTTATATTATTATATTATAAGATTTCTAGGTAAATATTTCCCAAGCCAAAATGATAACTTTTTACTTAAGCAAGTAACAAGGGAATCTATGTTGATTTTATAAACTTATTGTCATATTAAAAAAAATCTAAATAAGTATGTAATTATATATGTTTTTTTTTTAAACGCAGCTATATTTATGGTTGTCCTAAAACACAAATTAAAGTATTTGTTTTTCAAGTGCACACTTGGGCACTTAACGGCCAGTTCAGATGGTGGTTAATTAGCCACACAGATACACACACCTGATGGGCCACTCGCATCCCTTCAGTTACTCAACTCGTAACGTAATTGGTCTGTATACAATTGTAATTATAAACCACTAATAAGATTCGAACATGAAGCGATTTTCAAACTCCCACTGAATGTGGCAACGTGGCACAACCCATTTTGCTATTGAAGCCCCCCAATGAATTTCCCATCCTCTCCCACGCCCCCGCTCTTCCCGTCGTCGTTGCCACATCAACAAGTTAATTTTGCATCGCTGGGTGGATGGGGCAATTGGGTGTTTTTGAATCTCAATGGTTCCAAATGTTTGGAAAAGGGGTAGAGCTGTAGAGTTGTAGAGTTGTAGAGCTGGCGCTTAAGTGACTATTTAATGCGATTAAAATTGGAAAAGCTTCGCTTGACCAGGACACTCTGTCGACTCGAAGGGCGATCAATGGGGCCAAAGGGGTCAAGGGGATTAAGGGGTTAAGGGGTCACAGGTGCACCGTCCTGCAACCGATGACTCCCGGATGCACCGCCTCCAAATTGCATTTGCTTGTGACCTCTCAACTGGTCCATGCTGGCAAATGGAAATGATTGAGTTCCTGGGAAATCAAGTCAAGGAATATCAAACTGAATTATGCTTCGATATGGACGAGAAACTGGGTTTCCAATCGATAAAGCTTCCTCTCCGAAGTCAATTAATAGTTCTTAGTTGGGAAACGTAAAATTGAAATGGCAACTGTCTGAACGATTTACAAAGCCATAAAAAAAGTGTAGACAGTTTCAAATCACTTTCAAATTCCATTAATAATAAAATAACAGGAATTCCTTCTTAATTTTTCAAAAATGATGGAAAATATAAATATATAATTTATAATAAATTAACTTGAAGGCTTTTATCAAGTCTTAAGATAGTAATTTCTTTTAATTTTGTAGTTTTTAATAAGCAATACAATACTTTTTAAGTCTTGAATTATAACAAGTGGTAGTTGAAATATATTTTCAGAACTTCATTTTATGTAAAAGAAACTTAATATTGAACAATGTACTCAAGGTAATCAAATATTTTCTACCTTGAAAAAGAATGCTTGGGAAATGTTTATCCAATTGTATTTCAATTTGAATAGAGTTGAATGGTATTCCATTAGCCCTTTGAATCGATGACCTTGTCTAACTCTTCCATTCCAACCAAACCCCCCAACTTTTCGCCGCTTCAGCTGAGATTACGCGATTCCGAGGGCCATCTCCGCATCATCCACCGACGAAACGAAAATGAAAATGGAAATTGACAAGTGACCAAGCGACCAAGCGACCAAGCGACTGCAGAGCATGTGATGACCACCAAGGAGGAATGCACTCACATGTGAAATGGAAAAAATTATAATCCAAATAAGAGAATGCAAAAGGATGTGGCGACCGAACTGGGGGATCTGAAATTGGAGGAAGGGGTTTTTACCCGGGAAAAAGTAGTGGAAGTGGTGGTGGCAGTGGAAATGGAAGGCTAAGAAGCCGGCGAAGCGGAGCGAGGCAATCGAAATCGATGACGGATACGCTGGCAGGACAACAAGTCATCGGCTGCCCCGCAGATTGAGTTCCTGCCACTGCCGCTGCCACTGCCACTGCTCCTTGGAGGAGCTGTCCTCCTTTCCTCGTGTGGCTACTGCTGTAGCCATTTTTGAAAATTTCTTAAAATTCAATAAATATTTATGAGTTGATAATGCCAAAGGCACACACATACACACATACACACACACACACACACACAGCTGGCATGGTCGCTTGGTTGAATTAAATGGATTACGGATACACAATGGAGGTCAAGTAAACAGTGACCATTTAAAAACAAATGGTATTAATATTAAGATTTGATTAAATAATTTTTTTTAAAACCCTGCTTATGGAAAGTATCCAAATAATACAAAATATATCGTTTTGTTTAAATTATATATCACATTTTCTGAATTAACTTCGTGCCTTGTTCAGTTTAAAAACTAAACTCAGACTCCTTGATTTTAGGAATAAATTTTCTTTATTTTTGGAAAAATTGCCTTAAATTTTGTGCAAAAGGTTCAAATTTAAAGCAATTATTCCAAAAATTATGAACATTTTTCCTAAGATCAAGGAATCAAGTACAAAAATATTGCACTATTTTTTTAAACGTCTTGTCAATTTTATTTCTGGAAGAGTTTTACTCTATGTTTTTAGTTATTGGTTTATTGTTAAATACAAAATAATATTGTAACAGACCTGGATTCGTTTAAGCATTCATATACGACTCCATCTTATTTTAATGGCTTTATTATTTTGTATATTGATCAGGCAATTGATCCCCATCCAATTACGTATAAATTATGTTAATTTCAGGAATATTTCTGTATATATATAATATAATAATATAATAATGCCATGTTTTTGATTTTTAAATTTAAGTAAGTAATCAGTGATTCAGAGTAAAAACCCCTTATTCCCCGTTCTAGTTTTGTGACCTCAATTGTGCAAGGAGAACGCAAAAGGAAGTGTTCAGCGCCACGCACAAAATGCAAACACGCACAGCGGAATAACATCGGAGCGAGATGGGGCGACAGCGGACGAAAGAGACAGATACAGGGGGAGGGTTCAAAGGGCACGAGACAAGATGCTTGGTTAGCTGTGGATCCCAAAGTGGAACGGAATACATCGCAAGTAAGTGTGCATAATTCATATAACTCGTAGTTATCCGTTTGCCGTTCGCATTAGTGGACAATCGGGTGAAGGACATGCCACGTGTGCCGCAATTCGGCCACTTGAATTCATTCAAGGACCCCTCCAAAGTTTCCAAGTCCCTAGATGAGCAGGTCAATTTACTGATTTGATTGGACTGCAGAAAGGCATTGCAATTCATGCACCTTGTTTTTTAGGACAAATATCTAAACGCATATTCGAATTTATTGAAACGTATATTTGTGCTCTAAAAATAAATTGAGTAATATTTTGGGCTTCAATTAATTTATTTGTTCTCAATATATTTTAACAAATCTATGCCTCATTTTTATATGAACAGCAGTTGAAATTATTGTATGCAATTTCGTATTAACTTATTAACATAAAAATCGCCACCTTGATGAAAAATAATGGAAAAGTAATAATAAACATCTGACTATTGTTTTAAATTAAATATTAAATCATAATATAAATAGAATGCATTATTAAGTTGCATAATTTAATATTAAAATATTTTACTTACCCAGTAAATAAACTTTTAGCCTTCAGAAAATACTTTTTAGTGGAAGGAACTTTCGGTTTTTTGGCAAGGTCGCCAGCTGACAGTCAAGATGTTGTGATCAATTCATGCACATATTTTTGAATAAGGACTCGGACGTGTAGATAGCATCATCATTCCCCGATCAGATGTGTATTTGTGTATATATGTTTGACTATTTTTTCCCTTTCCATAAATGGAATTCATCGGAAATAAATTATTAGAAAAGTTTCTGATCTGAGAGGTTGTGTTAATCCCACTCTTCAGGTCTGAGGTCTAAGCCATCGACAAACACGTCGAAACAGATGAGCAAACTTTGGCAAACAACAAACGCCGACCAATGCGCAAACTTATTTATTAACAGGAGGAATGGTTAAGTTTTTTTTTAAGCCAAAGTGTGGAATACTCTAGCTAGAAAAGGGGAAACTTTCACTTGAAAAAGACGAAAAAAAATGTATTTTGGTGACTGTAGATTAATGTTTGCGTATTGGTGATTAAAAATTATATCGGACTATAGAAAATACTGAATAAACATTTTTAGAATTATATGAAGTTTTTAAATGCATTTCATTAATGGCTTTGTTGATATATTTAGAAAAATGAGAAATTAAATATTGCCTTAAAGTCAATAGATAGTTAGCTCTACCTTACATATTTTCCGGAATAACAACGTTAAATCTTTTAAAATTTTATAAAAAGAATAGAAATACCATCTGGCATAAGGATGTTTAGCTTTGGGTCATGTTAATATGTTTCAAAATCGATGTACTCTTTTTGGTAGGGCATGAAAACATTGAACGAAGGCGGCTTAATGAAATTCTGTGCATATTCCAGCACACGCACATGCACGCCCACGACCACGCCCACCCGCCCCCACGTCTGGTTTCTTGCTGCATAACTGTAAGTTCGTCCTGTGCGATTGTCTTCCGTCTCCGTCTGTCTCCGATAGTTTGTGCGGCAGAGGGAGCGAGAGGGGGCGTACGTGATGTTCATATTTTCATAGATTCAATAATTCATAAATTTTATGCACACACACACACACTCACAGAGCTATGCTGTGCGTGTGTGCGTGCGTGCAATGATCTGCGCTGATTTCAGCATCCTTTTCGCAATGTTTCATGTCCTGCCGTCTGTCTGCCCAACTTTTATTGGCATTCCATTGTCTCGAAACTTTTTTTATGGCAAAGGGAGGATCGTCGGCAATCAGACACGGGAAACCACCACTCATTTAAAAACAAAGAACGAAGTTAATTGACAGTAATGTGGTAACAATATTGCACTTACAGTTCGATTTTGTATCGAACATATATAAATGTTGTATGAATTTTACTTTAAACCAGGAACCGTAGTCATTATAAGTGATTTAATAAAAAGCTAAGCTAAACAAATTACTTTAAAAATAATTAATATTTTTTTAACTATTCATAAAAAGGTTAATTCTTGATTCGCTTAATAAGCTAAAAAATAACAATCTCTTCCAAGCACAAAAATGTTATTCTTTTTTGTTTTGCTCAAAACAATAATAGTTATTTTGTGATCGATTAAATAATACTCGAAAAATTATCATTAAATTGTGATAATTATGTTTTTTGTAAAATAAAGACAGACCTATAAATTGAAATACAACTTTTTAGTATTAAAAAATCATATATTATAAGATATGCGCTTCAATTAGGTTCTATAAAATAACTGGCAACAAATTGCGGATCGTTGAAAGGCAGCCTCCATTGACTTTGGCCAATAAGGGCGATGAGTTGGCTAATAGTGTTGCCTACTTTTGCGGGCATGACATGTGGGCGTGGCAATGGGAATGCCGGGTAGGACATGCGGACAACATGCGATGTACACATACGACAACGGCTATGATGTCGACTCCGTCGACACTTTCAGTTTTTTAACTCAATTTTCAATAAAAACAGTGCACAAAACTTTTCCCTCGCTGCCTCACTTTGTTGTTAACTTAATTTCGTTTGGCGCTGTTCAGTTGGCAGTTTTGCAGGCTAAAAGCATTTCATTGTTGTCCAACTCGTTCTTCGCTGTTGCCACTGTCGTTGTAACACACCCAACACACCCAACACACACGAAAAACACACAACCACACTGCGAAGGCATTTTACACGCACTGCGAATTCTCCACATATATCGACTGCAGCTTCCTCGTTTCTCACTTCCCGAACTGCTGGCATCCTCGGCTCAGATTGCTAATTGAATTGATCGATTGCGAACCACCGGAAGAGCCGAGCTGGAGTCAAGTCTAAACCAAATCCTGAGGAGCACGGCCTTGCCTTTGACTCCAATCCATTTTAGTTAGTACCTCTAACCCAGTACTCGCAGCTTTTCCTTGTCGCCAGCCATCGCTCATTATGGGCATATATTTGTTTATTGTAAACGAGGGTGAACCATAAGCAAGTTGCTATTTCTTATATTGAAAGCTAATTTTCTATCATATTTTTGTTAAGGTCTATGTCCTTGAACTTTTGAACTTGGTACTATGTGAAACACTTTTAGGGAGTCTCGAATTATATATTTAAGAAATATTTTGGTGCGAATATCTAGTTCCCTTTTTATTTAAAATAATTTATATTTGTTTAACGCATAGGAAAATTTATTTTAAAAAGTGGCAGAACCAATAATAAACCTAACTCAGTTACTATACGTATAAGTGATAAATTTGGTTCTTTTCTTCTTTTTTTTATATGAAAACAAAAAGAAGAATGAATTTTAAATATCAAGATTTTGTTTTTAACATAATATCAATCATTTTGAACTGAACATTTTCCAATTTAAGAAATAAATATGAAACTGTCAAAGAAAGCGATCAAAATGAAAGTATTTTTATTATGTAAAATGTATATATATTTTGCTGAACTCAATTTAGCTATTTGTAAATACAGAAGCATGTTTTGAGAACAAGGCAAAGGTATATTCAATATCAAAGAGCCAAGCGACATTTAAGGTCCACTCTTTTGGGCCCAAACCGCTGCCATTGTAGTCATTTTTAGCCACTAATCACTCTCGAATAACAGGCCAGTGGCAGCGCCATAATAAAAATAATGATGTGACATAAAAACAAATTCCTCGGTACAATATGTGCACTGCCTTCGTACCGTTCGCTCCTTGCGTTCCTCACGTTCCCTCGAACTCGCCAACTTTGTCGATATATTGTCATAAATCTTTCATTGATTGCAAACGAAGACATCGCCAAGTTGAAGTGGGTGTGGCGGGAAATTGGGTGTCTGGTGGTTGTTGGTTGGTGGCTGGTGGCTGAATGCTGGTGGTTGGGTAACCGTGTCGTGTGGCAAAATAGAAATTGTACAAAGCGGCCAAGCTGAAATAGATATAAATATTTTAGCCATCGTCGCCAAGGCAGCTGGCTGTTGCTCGTTGGTTCCTTTTTTGTGAGCTGAGATACCCTTACACTCGGCATGGATGTTGCTTACCAAAAGAGTCCAATTTTCCTGCAATCCTGCAATTCAGTCACAATGTCTATATATCCGTTCCAACTTTATTTATACAAAAAGTTGCATTTCGTTTTTTAATTTTTATGGAATCATTTTAAAGACAAGCAAAATTAAACAACATTTTTAAAACTAATAGCGGAAAACAGCATTCTTAGGGGATTAAACTATTTAAAAATTATGATGCTATAATAAAAAATGCTAAATGAAGCACTTTGTATACCAAATTCTTGTGATTTATGGCACAAAAATAATTCTATTGTTTGAATGATAATAGAGCTTCCTGGGGTTAAACGTTCTAAAAAAATAAAACAAGAAATTGTTAAAAGTTCATAATTTTAAGAAGTCTTTTACTTTTAATATTGTGTTCTTTGGTTTTGCTCTAAACACTTTTGATAACTTTCTGCAGTAAATTGGCATTTTAAGGGATTGACTAACGTAAACTACTTGTTATTCATAAAAAGAGCTAATTTATTGTATGTATCGAGTTGAGTATTTCGAAGAAATACTATTTTAAGCCATCGAGTTGACGCATTGAACTCATAAATGAAGTTACATTTTCAAACTTTAACTTTATCTTTTTGCTACCTCTCTAAGAAACCTTTTGAAGAGTACTTTTAATGATCAACTTTAAATTGATTTTAGCAGGAAGGGTCTCTTTTGATTCGTTATATTTTGCCACGTATGGCATTGTTTGTCTGTGACTCTTCTTTTTGTGTTCGTTTATCTTGTTTATCGTGGATTTCATTATGGCTGTGGTTGCGTGTCTTTTGCTTTGCGGTGGCTTATGCCGCCATTCGATTTTGAAAATGTAAATCTCTTGTCGTCGTCGCTGTCGATGGCGCTTTCCCCGGCCCCCCGCTCCCCCCGGTTTTTCCTTTTTCCCCGACTTTCCCAGCAGTTGGTGTGTTTGGTAAGGTGGCAAGATGGCAAGATGGCAAGATGGTGGTGTCGGCGGCATCGTTTGTCAACATGTCGGCAGCGCT